ACCTCTTTCTTTCCGATTGTGATCTTTTCCATGAGCTGCTTGACCAGCGTCATTAGCTTTTTCTTCTCGGTGTTTTCTAATGTTTCTCCTTCCGCTTTCAACTAGATAATTTAATGATTTCTGACCATTACTAAATGAATTGAACTAAGTTCGTCTACCTTCTTCACAACTATTTTCTGGCGATCCATCAACTTTTGCAGCAGATCCGTCTGTCGTTTGTGAACATTGAAGATGGAAACTTGATTTGCCTGAAAACAATGCTTTAGTAATTCCAGAAGTGATTGAAAATCAAGGCCTACCTTTTCGACTTTCAGCTTACGACGTGCGTCAATAATCTTTTCACGACTTTCCTTCAGCTCTTGGTTGACAAACTTTGACATTTCGATTGTTGCGACCTTAGGAGGCTGAGCTGGTGGAGGAGCATTCTCTGATGCAGGCTTATCGACGTTCACACCAGAATTGAGCACTGACCTCTGAATTCCCTAAATGCGCGCCTTACTAAAGTCAAACACCGATAAACTAAACTTTAAGTACGTACATCCTGCCCTGGGGTTGCACCAGCAACAATATCAGGGTTGTAGAAGAACACTTTGATGAAACGATTATTCAAAACAGGCTGAGGAGACTTGTATGCAGCCATGGCTTCGCCACGAGATGCATAGGTAATGAGGGCGGCATCCGCTTCGCCATTAAATCGCACCTTAATAGGACACTTTTTTGGGGCTGAGGATGCGCTTAGAGAGCAGAAAGGCTTGCCTGCATATTCACAATACTTCCAAACGTAGCAAAGTGCTCATTTAGTTTTGCAATGTTGTTCAATTCGGGTGGGATTTTCTTTACCTAAAATGATAGACTTGACTGAATTCGTGAACGGAAACGTTTTCCTCTTCCCTCATTGCCTCAACAGTGAAAATAATGATAACCCCTAAAATTCCTCATAACTAACCTGCAAAGTTTTTCCATCACCGCGATTACTTGACACTTGTGGGAATGCACCTCTTCCCTGACCTCCACGACCTCGTCCACGCATACCGCCTCTCATCATTGGTGGCCTCGAGATACCACCAGCGGAAGATGGATCGACTGGAATGCCTCCTGATGGATCGTAACCGACCTGAAATACAAGATGAAATGAAAAAATTAGATACTCAGAACATTTGCGGAGCAA